TTAACAAACATAGTAAAGTTTATCATAACACCAATTATGCTAAATGGTGGGTGGATAATTAAATATTTCTGACTATAGAAATACTAACTAAAAAACATGTTACAAATACATTACAAATACAGGTACTGGGATTCGCTTTGGCACATTAGGAACTACAAATTACCACACTGAACAAAACCCAAAGAGCGTTTACATACTGAAAAAGTTATAGAAGAAAGAGTATAAACATAGGTTTTGATTCGGAGTGCTTTGAAATCATAAATTAAACCATAAATTACAGTTTGGACAAGACTAGTTCCCCACAATAGGAGGAGGTGCTGGAAGTTTTTCTTAACAGGATGGACTGTCTTACTGTATTAAAGCCATAAAAAATAAATTGTTAAATATTTGCATGTATTATTGTTACATTACAAAATACAATAACAATGTTTCTGAACCCTTATGATAGCTGTGTTCTCCTGAGGTCTGTGAGAACCATTTCCTCCAAGATTTCCTCACAGTCTGCTGCATTAGTCGTACAGGGCAGCTTCCCAACTAGCCGAGATCCACCTCCATGGTTCATGCTGGAATTGATGTGTTTCTCTTAACTCCGGTCGAAACGTTGCAGTTGAGACTCAAGTTATTTTCTACTCTTATTCCAGAGGTCTTGATGTTTCTCTAGATGTTCACTATAACTGGCTGTTTTGTGGGTGTCTTTAATTTCTGGTAGCTCTGCCCTGCAGCCCATTTCAGTTTAAGTGTCTCCTTGTTCTACATTCTGAAACAGCCACACTTCGCACATCACACACAGCCTCAGTGCTGATTAGCATTTTCTCATCTTTTTATAACCTTTACCTAATTTATAGTTTTATATTTATAAAATTACTGTTCCCCACAGACTCTGTTGGCAGTTCTTATGCTTTTCTCATATTTTAGTATGCTGTGAATTCACTGCAGGTGAACACCGGAAGTTTCCGTAAGAACTATAAAAACATACTGATGATTAATACAGGTGCACTGATTACAGTCAGACAGGACACGGGTTCAGCTTCTTAACCTTCACAGTGATCTCAATGAGCTTAAAGCCAATCATAGCGCAGGAGGCGGGCTTTGTCGGAAAACGGGTGGGATTAAAAAAAATAACGCACCCAGATCCACAGTGGTGACGTGGTTCCCCTGCGGTCCAGGCGGGGGCGCTAGTTCTGCAATGATGGTTCTTCACAGACAGTGAAGCGGTGAAGAAGAGGCTCAGGCTCTGCTAAAGGTAAAGAACACCTTCACTCTGTTTCCTCTGTTTCACTGAAACTGGCGGAGAAACGTTCCTGTTTGAAATTAAGATGTGAAATGAGCTGAAAGCAGCCGCGTCCATCCGGACCGAGTTAACGTCGGCAGTGTCCGCGCTGAGCTGTGTGGTGTTTGGGTGATGAGAGTGTTTTCCAGCTGGTTTGGAGAAGGTCAGAGTCGGAGGAGAGCAGGAACAGCAGGAACTAGAGACGCGTCCCTGAATTCATCTGACCAGTTTCCCGCCTCAGGCCTTTCAGAGGGGCTGAGCTGTGGTGTTTTCAGCTGGTGCCAGTTTTACTCGAGTGCTTTGGTGTGAGGTGCTCCGCTTTTTCCTCAGTGTCAGTTTAGTCATTAACACTTGGTCCCTAATTCTCTCTGTTGGGTTGAACTTCACTGCTGTGTTAGTTCAGCTCCTGTTCAGCTTCGCTGTTGATCACTCTTCTCACTCTGGAGCTTTAGAAGGTTATTTTACACCAAATGATCTAAAAGGAGAAGAACAGACACATAAAAATCATTTGCTGGAACATCATCTGGATGTTCTAGAACAGCTTCTACAGCAAATTAAATTACTTAAATGAAGTGAGTTTTTTCTTTAAGGTTCATTTGTCCACTTCTGGATAGACTCTACATAGAGGTTTTAACATCATCATCATCATCATCATTCTTTATTTAAGCTCGGGTTTACATTGAGGGGGGGCCTAATTTAGTTCTGTTTGTAACTAATATACAGAATGTAGCCGAGAGCCACAGGAAGAGTAGACACATAAATTAAGATGTGTGTGTGTGTGTGTGTGTGTGTGTGTGCGTGTATGTGTATATATATATATATATATATATATATATATATATATATATATATATAAAACGTTGAACTAAAACAGTTACAAACAGAACTGAAATAATTCAAAAGTGAAATTTCAAAGACCCTGGGAGAAACGAGCGAGTCGAGCTATAGAGAACCGTGTTCCAGCTCACTGGTTCAGCACAGCTAAAGGCAGTTTTACCAGCTCAGTAAAAACTCGGGGAACCTCGAGTGAAATAAACTCATCGTAGCGGGTTTCGTAACGTGTCCTTTACAGTGAGTGTGGAGGTCATATACTCTGACCGACGAGAGCCTCATAGAGAAACAGTGGCCAGTGTGTTTTCCTCCTTACAGACAGAGATGACCATCCCTCTCTCATATACAGTGATGAGTCTCAGAGGGATGAAGAGGGTCCAGAGCGGTCAGAGAGCTCTCTGAGGCGCTTCTGTACAGCACATCACCGAAATCAAGAGCTCACAGGAAAGCTGCCTCCACAGCGGTTTTCCTGCTGATGATTGGGAAACAGGATTAGTGTCTGTGAAAGAATCCGAGCTTCTGCCTCAGTTTCGTTTGTAAGTTACTGATGTGAGTTTTAAAGTCAGGTTTCTCATCAAGCCAGATGTCAAAGTACTTACACTCATTTACTCCTTCAGTTATGGATCCATGCAGAGTAAAAACATTTAAAGTGTTATTTTCAATATGAGCAGGTCTGGAAAACAGCATGAACTTAGTTTTGTCTCCATTTAGGGCTAATTTGTGGCTTTGGAGTGCGACTTTTAGGGAGTCAAAAGAGCACTGCAGTTTTTCAGTGGCTACCCTCGCTGAGTTTACAGTACAGTATAATATTATCTCATCAGCAAACAGATTCTTTCACTGTGGAAACAATATCATTAATGTAAACTGAAAATAACACAGGGCCTAAAACTGAAGAAACCCCTTTAGACACAGCTTCCCAGGGCAACATGCTGTCATCTACCAGAAAGTTAGACAACAGTGTGTTATTTATATATGCTTTATCTAAGATTAACACAGTAAGCCAGTTATTAGATTAATTTATGCCCTCATCTAGTGCAGATTAATTTAACAACTTTTGAGCAAACAATGTTTAGGTGATCGCACAGGCTCACACTGTACTTATTCTTCTGTTCTCCGATACAGAATGAAAATATATTTATCAAAGGAATAATAATAATGATTTTTATTTATTTAGTACATTTCATACATTGAAAATACAGCTCAAAGTGCTTTACAATACAAAATAAAGAAAAAAAACAAGGAAACTGTCATCAAAAATTAAATGCATAATAAAAAAGGCAACAAATAAAAACATTAACAGGAGATATATGTATGAAAATTAAGACAAAAGTATAAATAAATATACAATAAAAATACAATTGACAAGAAAATAAAAGTGATATTCCAGTAAAAAAAAAAGTAAAGTAAAAGTAGTTAAATGCTAAAGTAAGAAAAAGTCTATTTATCGAGAACATTTGAAAATATCTGAAAATAGCCTTTTTTGTGCTTAACTTAAAATGAAACAATATGTGAAAGTAGCAGCAGCAGTGAGTAGAAAAACTAACTGCATATGAGAGAAGTGTGGACATCAGGTTCCACCAGCAGTTCCATAAAATTTACTAATAATAAACTGTGAGTGAATTACAGATGTGTATAATACCAGTTTATCCCAGCAAATTAAGTGCTTACAACAAAGCAAAGCTCATGAAACTGTGTAACCGGGGGGTTTTCCACAAAGCAGGATTTCTAAGTTAGCCAGATAACTTAAGCCCAATGATGAATACTTTCTAATGGGAATGTCCCTCAGCTCTTTTCCGGTTGGACAGGCTTGACTTTGGGCTTAAGTTATCTGGCTAAACTGAGAAATCCTGCTTTGTGGAATCCCCGCCAGGTAAAGAATTCAAGTTCAGCCTTGTCTATCCGAGTGAGCGGGTTGGGTCTCAAGGTCTCGGGTCAGTTCCAGACCTCTTCTCCGGTTCTTCCCTAAGACATTTTCTAATCTTTTTCAGACCTTCCCTTAGGCTCACACCCAGATAGATCTCAGATAGGTCTGGTCAAATTTTAGTATCATAGAAACATTTTAAATATTTTTAAAGTGTATGTGGTCACTTGGACAATAAGCCAATAATTGGATCGCATCTTTCTAAAAGATGATTAATAGTTGTCCTCGTGGCTTCCAGCTGAGATGATGATGAGATACATCTTCCGTTTCAATTCAAAAATGTCTGTAGTTGTGATTTGCTATAGAAGCTCTCACACAGACATAGTTACCAAGTTGCTTGTTGCGCAAACTGTATCAAGTAGGTGATGTATCTCTGGGCTCCTGGGTGAATTTAGGTGATGATAATGACATGCAGGCTGGAATTGCTAATTTTGTGCCTTGTAGGAGCAATCCATACAGAACAGCCTGTATGTGTTTCTTTTTCTTGTATGGTCTCTGTTCAAGTGTTTGGTCTTGCAAATTTCATTGTGTGCAAAACAGATTATGTGCAAGCTTAATGTTAAATCTTCAACATTTCCAGGTTAGTTTCAAGAACTTCTGAACAATATTGAACAGAGATTTTGAAAAAAATATTTCCAGAATTCAGCTTTATGTTTGTCAGTAAAACTTTTCAGCTCTTTTCCTTTTGACTCTTTGAGTCCTTCACCAAACTGTGTTTTCACTATTTTGTGGCATTTGGCATTGAATATTACTTATTTTTCTGTTTTCTCTTCCAGAAAGAACGGCTTTCTGTTGTCTTCCCATGCATCCAGTTCTCATTTCACATTCAAGATCTCAACACCACAAAGAGGAATACATCACAATGTTGGAATTAGAAGAGATTAAATGTGAGAATATAGTGTCCACAAGCATTAGTGCTCAGAATACCTCCTCTTCTACTGTCCACACTAAATCATCTTGCAGACAAGCACAAAAAAGAAATCACCAGTGCTCAGAGTGTGGAAAAAGTTTCACTGGCAGACATAATCTCCAAATACACCAGCGCATTCACACCGGAGAGAAACCGTATCACTGCTCTGATTGTGGGAAGAATTTTACTATACAGAGTAATCTACAAAAACACCAGCGCATTCACACAGGGGAGAAACCATATCAGTGCCCAGAATGCGGGAGGAGATTTACAAGACATAGTGATCTAAGGGTACACCGGCGCATTCACACAGGAGAGAAACCGTATCACTGCCAAGAGTGTGGAAAGAGATTTAATCAACAGAGTAATCTCCAAATCCACCAGCGCATTCACACAGGACAGAAACTGTACCAGTGCTCAGACTGCGGGAGGAGGTTTTCTGAGAGACGTACTCTCCAACAACACCAGCACGTTCATACAGGAGAGAAACCGTATCAGTGCTCGGAGTGTGGGAAAAAATTTACTAGACAGACTCATCTTCAAACACACCAGCGCATTCACACAGGAGAGAAACCGTATTACTGCTCAGAGTGTGGACAGAGTTTTAATCTGCAGAGTTATTTCCAAATACACCAGCGCATTCACACAGGAGAGAGACCGTATCACTGCTCAGAGTGTGGCAAGAGTTTTACTGTACAGAACCATCTCCAGTCACATCAGCGCATTCACACAGGAGAGAAACCGTATCTCTGTTCAGAGTGTGGGCAGAGTTTTAGAAACAGGTGTGCCCTAAAAACACATCAGCGCATTCACACTGGAGAGAGACCATATCTGTGTTCAGATTGTGGGAGGAATTTTACTAGACAGAGTAGCCTTCAAAGACACCAGCGCATTCACACTGGAGAGAAACCGTATCCCTGCTCAGAGTGTGGACATAGTTTTAGAGACAGTGGTACCCTGAAAAAACACCAGAGCATTCACACAAGAGAGAAACCGTATAGCTGCTTAGACTGTGGTAAGACTTTCACTAAAGAGAGTAATCTCCAAATTCATCGGTGCATTCACACAGGAGAAAAACCATATCAGTGCTCTGATTGTGGGAAAAGTTTTACTAGACAGAGTAGTTTGGAAAGACACCAGCACATTCACACAGGAGAGAAACTGTATGCCTGTTCAGAGTGTGGACAGAGTTTTTCTAGACAGAGTAGTTTGGAAAGACACCAGCGCATTCACACAGGAGAGAAGCCGTACCACTGCTCAGAGTGTGGGAAGAGATTTACTAGACAAAATAATCTTAAAAAACACCAGCGGATTCACATGGAAGAGAAACCGTATCAGTGTTCAGAGTGTGGACAAAGGTTTACTGTGCAAAGTAATCTCCAAATTCATCAGTGCATTCACACACAAGGAGAAGCCGCACCACTCCTCAGAGTGTGGGGGGATCTTCAGGCATCCAAATTTAAAGACACACAGATGGACTAAGAGTGAGGTAAAAATGAGTGTCAAATCCAAACCTGCTTGTGAAACATTAGTGCATTCCAATAGAATAAGACTTTCATTCTTTATTGGCTGTGTTGCTGAAGAGGTGGACTTGCTGTCCTTACCCTAGGCATGTGGTGCATGCTCTCCCCCAGACACCGATAACCAACAGCTGTAGCCGATTAGAGGAGGAGCACAAACAGAATAAAAACTGTCTCTCCTTGACGAGACAGAGGCACTTAGGCTGCAGAACCACACATCTAAACTGAGACAGAGGATAGACTTTTACAAAGAGCTCTGGAAGCTTGCACTGAATTTATTTGGTGTGTTTATCGCATGAAAACAAAGCATTGTGTTCACTTGTGCTGGTGTTTGTGTGTTCCTGACCTCTTGTTGAGTTTGACAGGGTGACTTGACCCTTCCCCAGGCTGATCAACTAGTGGAGAATGCGGATATGCCTATTTGGTATCAGCTCCACTGACTAGGAGCTGAGCAAAACTTTGGAGCATACCACAGGTCTGGCTCAAGTGGCTTTTCTGATATGGGCTTGATTTCAGTTAAGTTTGGATAAAGAGAAACCGAAACAAGCAAAAAAGGGCAAGGGGGAGCAGCACCTATATGGGCCTGGACTAATGTTGTTGCTGTGTCTTTCTTGAAAATGGTGACTCTGGGGGCTAGCATCAACCTGCAGCTGAGCCTCCAAATGCATATCCTAGGGATGCTGCCTTGCCCCCACTGATTAACGGGGGAACCTGGCACTATGGAGACCCGTCCCATTGTGCCCTGCATCGGTTTCTCCCCCTCTTTTTTGCTCTTTGCTGGACGAGCCTGGTCTGCCGGATTCCTGCCCTATCAGCCTCATCCCTTAAAGCCTGTTCCTTCTCTCCTGGCTGTGGTTTATAGGGGTGGGGAGGCTGGCCTGGGGAGCATGTGCCCCCAGTGAAGGATGAGGTCTTTTCCTGACCTGAATGGCTGTGACAGTCTGAGAGACCTGCATCAACCTACAGCTGCCTGCATTGACAGGTTGGCATCGGGTGGTTGAGAATGAGGTTCTCAGTAATGGGAGAATGAGGTTCTCATGGATTTCAGTTGTTGTTGTGTCTTTCCAGAAATTGATGACATGTGGGGCTACCATCAATCTCCAGCTGATCCTTCAAATGTGATCATCATCGTGATCACATACAGAAAAAAGAAACTTGATGTTGACCTATTCACATCTTTGTAAGGAGGCATTCTTACTAAACATCTAAGAAAAAATAAAAGAATTCTAACGTTTGATGAGCCATCCAAGCAGATGAAAATGCCACCGTCTCTTAAGTGTACATGCTTTGTTTTTTGGAAACTGAAGTTTCCTCTTCTGTGAAGTAAGCAGTCGAGATCCACAAGTCAACAGGACACCCAACTCTGCTGCACTAAGTGAGATGAAAAGAGCACCTTTTGAAACTTCCTTCAGAACTATGCACTGGTGAGTTACGTTTTTATTTATTTTTTCTTTTAACAAAAATCACTGAAATTTTAATTAAAAAAAAAGTAGACATCACCTGTTATACAGCAAGTTTCATAGAAATATTGGGCCTCATATACCAACGGTTCTTAAGTACAAATTTCTTCTAAAACCCACGCAGTTCTGACGAAGATTCAAACATTCACCAATGTTCTCTTGTCTGGCATTTATTCTTAGGTAAGAACAGAATCTACACACTCAAGATCACAAGGTGAGAACAGTTCTGCACTTTAAGAACACAACATGAATCTGATGGACACTTTTTCTTAGGACCTTTCTCAAGAACATATTTAAGAACAAACTTGGGAAGATACTGGAGAATGAGGTTGAATGGTCTTAGTTTATTCTTAAGTAATCCTTAAGGTTAAGTGTGTTGCACTAAACACTTTAACTGGTATGCAAACATTTCAGTAATCCCCCAAGTAATCTCTGAAGCTTTGCATGAGGTTTCTTTACTGCTAGTTTTCTTCGGGTAATTTGAGGTTAGGAAAACTCAGCCTTAAGATCATCACATTTTTTTTTGAAACGCTGAGGATGGTGGAAAATGTATCTAGAGGAATTTTTCTGATAGAAATCATGCAAAACATGCATAAAGCAGCATTTCTATTGTGCTCTCTATTTTAAAAGCATGTCTGAATGTAGGGCTAAATGTCAAAGAAAATATCCTGAAAGTAATTTTAATTCACGTCAAATAAACACATTAATAAATAATTATTTTTACACTGCTAAAGTGGGTATTGAGATCTTAGCATACCTAGCCTTTAGATTTGACTCTGCAGCACCCATGAAGACACAGATAGGATAAAATTATCCTAGAAGCCATGGAATAATTCAACAATGTGTCTGTGTTAGCAAAGAGGTTTTGTTTTAAGCTTTACGAGAAAATGTGTGAGGCTCTTCTGCACTCTAGCCAGCCATCGCCACTCTGTGCCGAACATCAAGTTTACAGACATGCCGCAGGTAAAAACTGGCAGTAGAATTGGTCATACTGAGCAGCTCTGTCACTTTCAAAGTGGTAGTCATAGGATGTCCCCTTTAGAATGGTGTAGCCTCTCAAATTTCTGTCCTGATAGAGCTGCTAATGATGCCAAGTGAAATCAGGGAGAACAGCCCAGTGGTAGGTCACAAAAGCTCACTGCATGGTACCACCAAGTGCAGAAGCATGAAAAAATATTCTGTCCTACATTACAACACTTACCAAGTTCCAAACTGCCTCTGGAAGCAACGTCAGCACAAGAACTGGAGAACTTGAACTTTTCAGCGATTCATTAATTGGGCTTCCATTGCCAAGCAGTCTAAGACAATGTCAAGAGTGCTGTAAAGTACATGGTCACTGGATGCTGGATAGTGGAAATGAGTTCTCTGGAGTGATTAATCACATTCACTTTCTGGCAGTCAGTGGCAGACAGATGAATCTGGGTTTTAAGGAATGCAGAAAAGTGGTATGACAAAGTAAGTGCCAGCTTTATGAAACAGTTTGGGAAAGACCCTTGACAGTGCCCCCTATCAAGAAACCAGACTACATATAGAAATCTTTTGGTGAGCATCGAGATACCTAGATATCGAGCATCTTTGTATCTAGGTCTCAGCACTGACCCTCGGTTCTGGCATTATCCTAGCACTGGCAGATATTTCCTTATCTATGTACACCGTTTCATTATGATTTGAACATGTGGCTGATTTTGAGATTCTACCATGAATTCATTCTTTTGTCTTTCATGCTATTTTAGATGTTTGCTGTGTGGTGTGTGAATCTACAGCCTGCCTTACTCTCTGCACTTCATCACACTGGTCTTCAGCTGGTGGTGACGGGAGACGTTTCATGAACTGGTTATTGTGTGCAGGAGCTAGAAACTTCTCCATAGGAGTCTCCGTATGTCTGTTCTACACAGCGTAGAGTTGTATATGGACCAGAAGATAACATCTTCAAGAAGTTCTTACATACACAGTGTAAATATAATAAAGTATAATATATAACACTGAACAACGTCTTACTAGCTAACCCTGATGATTCTCTCTGTCTTACATTTACATTCTCGCAGCTGTCAGGACACAAAGCAGCTCCTAACCCATTGATCATCTTTACCACCTGTCCAGTGATGTGTTCTCTTCTTAAAGCTTTTCTCCTTGGGGGGTAATGTTTACATGCTTTAAAAATAATGTGGCAGCTTTTCATCCATGCTAACATCCATATCGCCTATCTGTAGCAAAGCAGTAAATAGGCTGCTGTAACCTGTGAAATATTTTAAAAGAAAAGCTTATAGAGGGTGGGATTCTGCACACCGGTTTAGGACAGCTGGTCCTGTTTCATTAATTGAAGTTGATTTGCTATGATTGCCCACATTCTCGAGCATTCATTTAATTTTCAATTTCAGTTTAGTTATACATTTAAAGAAATGTATTCATTAGGGTTAAAGCAAGTTAGTAGTGAACAGGTTTCTCAGTTTCTGTAGCTATTCTAAGTGTATGACCATGAACGCTACCTGATTATGAGCTCCAGGAAACTGAGCTCAGTCTGACTGTCTTCTGTTCTGGTTTCCTAATGTGTGTTATGGTGCCAGTGTGATGTCTCCAGCTGAAGGAAAGAGAAAGTGACCGTCTAGTCATCAGTTACCAAATAACTGTAACAGGTCTTCTTAATAGGCAAATGCTATTACTAAACCCGCTCTACAGAGTCACTGAGGACAAAATCACTGCACAGAATGCTGATGATGTTCAAGAAGTGTTGGGGTCGTTACTCAAGAAGTAATCCATCACAAATTACAAATGTATTTATGTCACGCCCTCTGGATCAGTTTATTAGTTCAGTTCAATGAAACTTTGTCATTATTCAGATACAAGGTTGTACAGTATAATGAAACACTGTCAGGCCACTTCTCCAGTGCAGATAGAATTAAAAGTGCAAACTATAGTAGAAATTAATACGCAGTCTGACCAATTAGTGTTTAGGTGTTTGCACTATTTGTAAGTGTACAGTATGTTCAGGTAAACCAGGTCAAGTGTGCAAATATAGTAAGTATTGTAAACACAGTGTAAACATAGCATCACAGATGTTATATTAACAGTACAGTGCATGTACAATGAGGAACATCAGCTCTAAATCCTGTATTCCAGATGAAGGACAGGTTCCACAGCTCTGTACACTAAATAAAGGGTTGAGTTTGATTCAGGGCTGTACATCATTTCCACAGGAATAAAATAAAAAAAAACTTTGCTTGTAAAATCACCGTATAACATTAGAATAAAGACAAATCAACATGAATACAGTAAAACGTAGCAATCATGTCTTTGGGTAAAGTAATGATACCTCGTGAGCTGGTTTGAAGCACGATGTTTGGAACCAAATTTCTCCTCCAGAGATCGCAGTGATTTATTAAACTCCATCAGCAGCTCCTGATTTAACACAGACTGAAGTATTGAGTAGATGAAGCAGGTATTAGATAATTAACTTCAGTTAACACTGGACCTTCTTGAGGAGAGGGCAGGAAACGGTTAAACATATTAATGCATTGTTATATTAATGTATTTTTTGTATTTATTCTTATATTAGTGTTTTCTGAACATTCGCTGCCAAAATAAATAGCGTTGTATATGTAATTAAAGTATTTATATACTTAAATTATATTTACAAAGCTGTTTTTGTAAATACAAAGTTTTGACCTCCATTGGTCAGTATTTTGTAAACTACTTCTTTCAACGAATACCATGTTTATAACAGTTAATGAACACTTAGCATTATATTCTATAGCCATGTTTATCGTGTCTTATTCTACACTATATTTTATATAAATCTTATACATAACATGATATAAGTTATTGAAAGAATGACTCAGCATGTGTTTGTGTTATGAGCAGTTTGGATTATACAGATGCATAAATAGAAGTAAATATATTGGAATATAATAAATACTATTGTAATATAATAAAACAACTATAAAAGGTATAATATTCAGTAAACGAATAAATAAGTACAGTCACTTGTATGTTGTGCAGGTGACGGACGGTGCAGTGGTGTACTGTGAATCCTCTAAAGACTCCAGGCAGAAACACATTATAGTGTATGATGGATGTTTCCCAGGTTCTTACATTAATGTTGTTGATATTAAAAGTTTTTAGCAGCAGCTCGAGCTGCAGTGTGTCTGTATCAGCTGTGTGTATCACTTTAAATCCACTCGCGGCTCCCTCAGATTTACTGAATGTAAACTGAGCTGGTGATGCTTTATGACCTCCGGCCAGTAGGAGTCGCTGCTCCGCTGTGAGAGGTCAGCAGAGCGGGGATGACCCCCGGAGAGGACTGGACACAGAGGAGCTCAGGTGAGTCTCTCGCTGCTGTTTAAAGGTAATAATGTTCTTTCATTAATGTGTGGTTTGACCGGAAGAAGGAAGGACGCCGTTTTGGGGTGAAAATATTCGACCGTAATGAGAAAAAAGACTGTAAACGGTTTAAAAGTGACGGAGTTCGTTATTCAGTGAACACAAAATAGTGAACAAACTGATTTAATCAGTGCTGTTTATTCATAACGGCCAGCGCTGTGGACACCAGTGTGTCCAGGACTTCCTCAGCTTAATCAGTGAGGCGGTCAGATTAGACCCAGTGACTGTTTATTGAGCTATTATTGATAAAAACTTTATAACATTAATCTGTGTGTATTTCAACACTATAATACACTATTAATACACAATTGAACTGACATATAGAAGTGTTTTACTGTAACCTGCACAGATGTGCACTTATTTTCACAAGAATAAAACATGATGGCTAGATATTTTTATGAAGTATATAAACTGAAAGTGAAAGACTGTATATGATTTACACCTTTGAGTAAATCCAGTGTAGCACTTTTTATTGTTTACCGTGTTAACTTTGTTATACACATCATCACTGTCTTACCTATTTATTTATTTAATTTTTACTGAATTTGAAAATACCAGCTGCTTTTCTACCTTCTCTGAAGCTTTGATGACGAACAGACCAACTGGTGTCAGAATCACTTGAATAAAATCCTCTGTGTGAGTTTCACTCTGAACTACAGTAGCCTTTACACAGATGTAGGGCCTGTTCAGCACGGGATCCATCTCAGCTGGAATCCAGCCGGCATCGTTACTCATAATTAGCTTACCTGCTGAGTAATTATAGCTCATTAAGGTGGTTCGTTAAGACAGCTAAGTTATCTGACGGCCTGCTTCTCATGATGGAGCGCTGCTACATGTGACTGTTAACACAAAACTCGCTTTACTACCCAGTTAAACACTCTTTACATGCAGTTTGTACTCTGGAACAACTGGATGTGATTTTATTCCTGGTTTCCTTAATGTAGACAAAATAACAGACAATACTGCAGTATATTAATGTAGAGATTCAGTTTTAGGTGCTTTAATTTTTGCTGCTTCTTTAAGCAAAACGAACAAGACTGATGAAGTATTGATCAGCGTTCACTCGTCTGTTCGCTCAGCAGAGCAGCCAATCACAGTGATTGTAACTGATTGGTCACTGATCTGGTGTCAGATTTTCACCGTGAAGCGTAAACGTTCAGTAGTGCAGTAGTTTAGTCTCTTTGTTTAACTGTGGTGGTCCGAGGGCCTCACCTGCATGACCCCCTCACCCTCCTGAAAGACTGATGACCTCGACTCAAAGAACCCTGCATGGTAAAATGGTTGTCTGCATGGTGAAATGGTTCTTCAGATTGATGGAGAATGTGTTGTATGTGGTTCTATATGGAACTTTTTTGAAAACGGTTCTGTATAGGATCAAAAGAGGTTCTCTATTGTATAGAAGCTTGACATTATAACTATAGCAGAGTCCTTTTTGGTTCTATATGGAACCATTGTTATTACTAAAGAACCTTTTTTTAGAGTACTGACAGGTCCTCAGTGATCATCACAGACTCGTTTTTACTGTCATCCTTTCGTGATAAACTCTGACAGACTTTAATTAACCAGAACATTTCTGCCCTTTGATCTGTTTCTTTTCCCCCTTTTATTTATTATTGTATATTAATGATCATTCTCCTCCTCCTCTGTTGAATAACTCTTATTGTTTTGACTGTTCACTGTCTGGAGGACGGGCTCCTGGTTTCTCTGAGTTTCTCAAGCTCATTTGGGTCTCGGACGTGGATTTCTGTGAATCTTCTTTTTGACAACACCTGTCGTAAAAAACACACTACAAATACATTTAGATTGAATTGAAGTCATACTTCGCCCCCCACCCTCCTTGGCTATGCTCTGATTTTGAATAATAATGGAGAGAACAGGGTGCAAACAGGGTTTTAGGGTGAACAGGAAATGGAGCTGAAAAGGCAAAAACCCACCGTAGAATAAAGCCGTGTTCTCACTAGAGGACAATATATGAGAAAATGTTAATTTATGTATATTTATATTTTTTATTGCCTCAAAAAAGAAGGAAAATTTCTGATCAGAAAACAGAACTTTCTATGAGTGAATCACACTATTAGGATCTGTAATAGAAAAGAAACGTGCCTGTTTGTGTGAACAGGTTGTAGTTTAAAATGTGCTGTTTATATAGGCTGTCCACTAGATGGCAGTAGAAACTGAGTGAACTGTAATAATTTTTTTTACATTTTTTAATTATAGCTTTTAATTATTTAAATATTTAATTAATCAACTTGTCACCTTTTATGTTTCATGTTTTGGTGCATGTTTAGTGGTTTATCTGTTTCTCGTTGTTATGATTTATGTAACACTGAGAGTCTGCGCAGCTGATGGATCGCTGGCTAATAGTTTCTTGGTTATACACAGCTGCGTTTATGGCTGCTCTGTCTCTGTTTATCTGTAGTTTTCTTTAAATAAAGTTGCTGTTCTGTTCTCAGTCGCCCACATATAAAACCAAACTTAGGTGAACTTTTATGAACAGTTTATTCATTAGTGCCTTTATTTTCAGTCCAGTGAGAGTTAATCTGCTGTAGGGAAGGACTGAGCATTTGGAAATTACTACATTAGCTAATTATGGTGGGAACCACATATTCTCATTTGAAATTAATGTTTTTTACATGGAAAACATGGTGATCTAAACTAGTGATGTGAGAGCGATTTACATGTTGACCCCGCAGGTTTATCTAGATTTTTGATATTACACTGCTGATGGGGAAGCAGGGGGTGATGAATGGTTGAAATCCGAAGAAGATAAGTTGTAGGAGCTGCAGAGAAGTTTGTACAAATCAAAGCTGCAGTTTCTGTCTAAACGAGTCTCTTTGCAGGTGCTGAAGTCATGAAAGTTTCATATTGTTATCTGTGAGAACTCCAGCTCAGCTGCCGACTGCTGCACAGTAAAACGGCCTTTCCCAAAACAGATCCCAGTTACTAATAAAGCCAAAGCTTTGCTCAGAGCACCATGATATTAGCCAAGTGTCCAATTCTAAAAGTTGCTAAAAGATTCATTACCTTGTCTGTAGGTCCCGAAATTAACATCCTTTTACCCTGCGATGTCTTCATCACTGCGTCCAACAGAAGACTTTCTTTAAAAATTTGGATTTTAGTTTGTTCATGTCTTCTCTTACATGTCGGAGTCTCCGATGAGTGGTGGAGGAAAGCAGAGACAGTGAGGGCCTTATCTTCAGTGCCACCTGCATCTGTGGGGATCTCTTCAGTTTGGAAGTTGTTGACTTAATCTTGTTAACACATGAAACATGTCTGAGTTTGAATCTGAATCTGGCATTTCCCACAGAACAGCAGATCACCTCTCAGTTGGCTTTTTGCTCATAAAACAGCTGTTTTATGAACGTCCTTCCTCTGCTGGTTCCTCCTGAAGTGTGCATAGCTGGAAGATGTCTTGTCCAGCACTTGCTGGTAGATCTAAGCCAGTATTCTTATTTTAATGCATTTTCTCTGAGCCAAACTCTGGCTAACTTCAAAAAGAACATAACAACAAATAATACAATATAAAAAACTAAAAACAAAACTGACGCAGCTAAATAAAAATGAAAATAAATATATCATAAAATGACAATGATTCAAATCAGTGTGCAGTCTGCACAACAAGCAGGTAAGAAGAAGCAGGATTTACTCCAAACCAAGCAGTGAGGTCTGATAGGCGATCATTCAGAGCAGATCAGGACTTCCCTAAGTGGGACATTTTCGCACTGTTCATATCAGATATAGTAAATATTGATTTCTACTTTCAAAATCCTCTTGATTTTTTTTATTGTAGCGTTCCACTATTGGTTCATTTGGCCGTGGATGCTCAGAGCCTGAGCAAAGGGAAAGCGCCGGACTCCCAGTCAGAGAAACTTAAAAACATGCAAATAGTTGTTGCCTGAAAGATGTGTAGCAATATTATATGTGTTATGCTGGGCTGTGAGGGAGATGGGGGTCTGTAGTCCCTACAGTCAACAAAGGCTGTGTTGCTTCTCGGCCGTTTCAGCCAGTGCTGGGTGGCAGTGCTCCACTGCTACCTGTTCAGTAAAAGAGCATTTCCAGGAAGAGCTATGTTTCTCGCATTTCTTTCTTTGCCAGACGTCACGTTGTTAGTTGCTAGTTTTCACCCAGTCTCACTTGTTTTTTTTTGTTTCATATAAAATCCAATGCTGTCCAAAGGGAAATGGTTTTTGATATGGTGGGTAGCGCTGTTGCCTCACAGCAAGAAGGGCCTGGGTTCAATTCCTGGCCGAGTGACCAGGGTTTTATTTTACAGAATTTGGCATTTGCTATGCTTGTTCTGTACCGCAGCTGGTTTTTAGCTGCATGTAATCTGCATCTGTTCCTCTTTTTCCTTCCTTTCTACAGATTGCCTGGTTGTATGGTTACAGATGGATGTTCTTCTCTGGCATCAGCTCTAAAATCAAACTCTTCCTACTGAGATGGTGAATTACTGTTATGCTGAAACGTGGAAATCTTCTTTTTTATTATTTTATTGAAATAACATAAAAACATTACAATCTGTATACAAATTGATCTTACTGTTCAGTAACGGTCTTCTTTATCAGATGCAGATAGTTTATCTGCACTGAATGTTTTTTTTCTGTTCAGTTTTTTTCCTTAGTGTGCAGCACAGAGAGATCAAGATGAACCCGCAACTAAGAAGCTGTAAGTCACACACTCAACACACAGACACACTACGATAACCCTGTTAGTGTTATTTACTTTTTAAACGTTAATGACTGTTTGTGTGCACAGATTCCTGTTCTCTCACTCTGGATCCAAACACCGCGAACAGATATCTCTGTCTGTCCGATGGGAACAGAAAGGTGGAGTATGTGGGAGAGGAGCAGCCGTATCCGCATCATCCGGACAGATTTGACGACTGGTCGCAGGTCCTGAGTGTGGAGAGTCTGACCGGACGCTGCTACTGGGAGGTTGAGTGCAGTGGGAGAGCTGAAATAGCCGTGACGTACAGAAGGATCAGGAGGAGAGGATACAGTGACTGTCTGTTTGGCCTCAATAATCACTCCTGGAGGCTCTACTGCTCCTATGATGGCTACTCTGTCTGTCACAACAATAAGATCACGGCCATACCTTCCCCTCCCTCAAACTCCAGCAGAGTAGGAGTGTACCTGGACTGGGGCTTTGGCACTCTGTCCTTCTATAGCATCTCACCCAACACAGGTGCACTTACCCACCTGCACACATTCACTAACACTTTCACTGAGCCGCTCTACGCCGGGTTCAGGGTTTGGGATTACTCCTCGGTTCATCTTCGTAAGATAGAATAGATGGACACTTTATTAAAGGCTGCCTACGAAGGGACTTCATTACACATGCATAAGCATTCAATTTAAAGTTTTATGTCATTAATTACAAGATAACATAAGACGACATAAGGGGCCTTAAACATAAATCAACGTTGTTCCCTTTAACACTGTTATGTAACATGACTGATGGAGATTATACTAGGCTTGGTCGAAGCTCTGTTACTTGGGAATGTTGTAAATTATGTTTATGAAATGTCAGTTAGCTGTATATAAAGGCTTACCAGGGTGTGGTTATTTAAAAAGATTTTTTTTTCAAACCTCTGTCCTTTCATACATCACTGAAAACTGTTTATACATCACTGAAAACTCTTAGTGTTGTAGTTCTGAGGAATGTTGATGATTTGAAAAGTTAAAAAGTTAAACCCATCTCTTCACCAAGTCCTCCCAGGAGCAGAGGCTGTGTCTGTATTTAACAGGTTTAATAATGAACTTTGAACCTGATAGAACAGAGTATGATCCTTTTGAAAGGGATTCATACTGAAAGGACATAGGCATAGATGGTGTGTTTGCATAGAAACTGCCAAGTCACTTTTATTTGTATTGCACATTTAAAACGATAGCAGTTGACCCAAAGTGCTCTCCAGTCAAGGTGGATGAATTAACAAAACAAGTAAACAAGAATAAAAAAAAGAGTACAAGTGAAAACAAGACTTAAGAAAAACACATAAGAATAAAAAAACAAAGGAGCAAAAATAACAAATAGAAACAAAACATAAAAACTGAAGGAAATAGATTATTATAAAAGGAATAATGCATAAAAGGCCACATTCAGTATAAAACACTCCAACAGATTAAAACGCAGTAAGAGGTCTGTTAAAAATAGAGTGGGCTTGACAACAACCACAGGGTCACCCCTCAAACTGAGCTAAAGACGAGAAAAAAAAGGGGGGGGGTGGATCTTAAAGTGTGATGTGAGAGAATTCCAGAGGCTGGGGGCAGCGACAGACAAAGCCTGGTCACCTTTGGTTTGGAGGCGTGAGTGAGGGACTGAGAGGAGGTTGTTCTGAGGATGACCTAATTGACCTGGAGGCAGAATGTGGAGTAAGAAAATCAGTGATGTGTTGTGAAGCTCATCAGTTTAGGATTTTAAAAACATATTTTGTATTTCACTGTTAAACAGTGTAAGTAAGCCAGATCAGCAGTGATGTGTTGTCTTTTCTTGGTTGCACAATTGCATGTTTAAAGCTGGGAGGGACGACTCCATTCGGTACAGGACTGTTAACTACAAGCAAAATAAAGGGGCAGATTGTGACAAACACTTCCTTAAAGATGCATGACGGTATGAGGTCTTGGGGACAATAGGTGGGGTTCATGTGTGAGACCACCTCAGACGGCTGGGAGGATGACGCTGGTTGAAACTGCGGGAGGTGGCTGACTGGATGTTGTCTCTCTGAGGGGTCAGAGTCTGGAGGTGAGATCTGAGATCTTACGTTTTCAATTTTGTGGATAAAGAAATGAAGAAGTTTCTCAGTTTCAGTGGTAGAACCTGAGGTAGCAGCAGCCGGATTTACGACAGAGGTAATTCTGTTGAACAATCTTTTAGGTCTGTGGTCATTTTTATGAATTAGTTGAGTATAATATTGTGCCTTAGCCATTTTATCAGTTATGGTAAAACTTTATACAATTTCCTAAAACTTCATATGAGATTTGGAGTTTGTCCTTTTTCCGTTTGCACAGTGCCGTCCTGCAAGATCGTCCAAGAGGACCAGTGGGGAGGTAAAGAGGCAGCGATGTGTAAATGAAAGGTACGTAGGCTCTGTTTATGTCCCACCCAGGCTGAGCCTGAACTGTATCCCTTTTTCTGTTTTAGGGCACTTTTACATCAGTCAGCCATGTTTCTCACTGACCCTGTTTAAACTTGGTATTAGCATCATCTCAGTGATCTGATCATAAATGTACCGTAAGATGTATAGCTGTTTACATCTGACTTTCCAGGGGTCTCAAAAGTGTCTCCAGTGAACACTTATGATCAAATTTGGAGGAAGAGCACCGCCCATGTTTACTACACCAGTCTCTGCGTTTGTTATCAGACAGAAATGAGCTGCGAGACCTGGTTGGTGTGACTGTGTGAGCTGTTACACACGTGTTAATCACATGGACTGATAACGCAACTTATAAACAAACAGGAGAAGAGAGGACGAATGAAGCTACTTAGCTGCCCTCATGCCTGCAGTGATGATGCAGTTGATTAGGGGGTCTTTATTTGCTGTCTGAGATGCTTTAGTGTTCACACTACACATTTACAGGTGGTCTGAGTGATCGGACCACAGCACATCTTATAGCACCCCAATCACATCCGTATTTAACACTGATCACCTATGATTGGATCAATCGAGATCCGTGTTAAAGCCCAGTATGAAAGGCACTGACTGTATGAATCAAAATGAAATTCCTGAGTGATTTTGAAGGCACTGCAATCGCCCACAGTGAATTTCCAGTGAGCACTGTAGACCATACAGGAGCTGAACATGCACCAAAATGCATTGTAAGTCTGTTGTTACTAAGCAACAGACAGAGAAGTGTTAGCTAATGCTAATGGTGGCTGTTGAACCACTGAAAACCAAAACTCTCGACTCCCAGATGAATCATCAGCTCTGTACAAACACAAAGACCCTACTGTGTTTACTGCCCACACATAACAGAAACACTGAACAGTTGACTGTAGAAAAGCACAATCATGGACCAAAATGAATGAATGTGTGACCCAGTCAGGCTTTGCACTTCCCCCCCATCCTCGTCCTCTGCACCCTCAGAACGTTTCACAGACGTCTAACCCTACAGATAAGAAGCCGACTGTGGGGCTGGTGAGCACTGAACCACATCAGAGGGCCTGAATTCATGTATTGTTATGTTTTTACTGCTGTTTAGTAATAATTTAATAAACCAATTCACCCCAAATAGCGCAGCACTAATGAGCCGAACCGCTTCAGTCACAAACGTTTCTGTTTAGCCTCTTAGATTCCCCCCAACCTCTCCCTGCTCCACCCACTCCCTTCCTTAGCCCCGCCTTCCCAGTCAGGGTTCCCCAGTTTTGCCTAGTTAGTCTCTGTGTATATGTACCTCCACCCTTGACCTGTCCTTGCTCCGCCCACTCTTCATTAGCCCCGCCTTCCTGATTAGTGTTACTTTTCTGAGTCTAGTTAGTCTATGTGTATCTGTAGCTCCTCCCTCTACCTGTCCCGGCTCCTCCTACTCTCTTCCTTAGCTCCTCCTCCCTGATCAGTGTTCTCTGGTCCTGTCTTGTTAGGTTTGTGTGTATGTAGCTCCACCCTCTATCTGTCCTGGCTCCACCCTCTCTCTTTCTTAGCTCCTCCTCCCTGATCAGTGTTCTCCGGTCCTGTCTAGTTAGGTCTGTGAGTATGTAGCTCCACCCTCTATCTGTCCTGGCTCCACCCTCTCTCTTTCTTAGCCCCTCCTCCCTGATCAGTGAGTCTCTGTTGTATGTAGCTCCACCCTCTACCTGTCCCGGCTCCACCCTCTCTCTTTATTAGCCCCTCCTCCCTGATCAGTGAGTCTCTGTGTGTATGTAGCTCCACCCTCTACCTGTCCCGGCTCCACCCTCTCTCTTTATTAGCCCCTCCTCCCTGATCAGTGAGTCTCTGTGTGTATGCACTCCTGATGGCTTCTTCAGCCAAACACAGGCTGCACTTCTCAGTCAGCACCTAACACTGCATGCTGGTTAGAGTGTTTATTCTGCTTGTATCTGCACTGTCTGCATCATGATGACTTCACCTGCGATAGTCTTGTGAGGCTGCAGGTTTCAGAGCCACACACTGAAGTTCCTGTTCACCCCACTGTGTGAGACGGTCTGAAATATCATGTGGTCACACCGTATTAATGCTGTATTAAAGAGATTTGAGGTTGTTTTTGTGCTGAAATTCAAAGAATAATCTTCTGAGAAACGCTGCGTCTGGTCACTGTGAGATCCACACTCTCCCACAGCCGGCCAGGGTTGGGGAGCACTGAACACAATGTGCTCCCAGGCTTTAAAGCATCTTATACACTCTTGTTGGTTTGAACCGAGATGGTAGCCCTGCAGACTGATAGAGCCTCTGCTTCAGAATGGTGTGGCTCTCATCCCTCTATTTTCTCCCCCTCTATCTGTCATTAGTCTCCTCTACCTTTTCCTCCTCCTCTGTCTCTCATTAATGTCCTCCATCTTGTCCCCCTCCTTTATCTCTCATTAATCAGAGATAGAGGAGGAGAAGAAGAAAGATTAATGAGAGACAGAGGAGGAGAAGATAGAGCCCTCCTCTCTCTCTCATTAATCTCCTCTATCTTCTCCACCTCTCTCTCTCATTAATCTCCTCTATCTTCTCCTCCTCTGTCTCTCATTAATTTCTTTCTTCTTCTCCTCCTCTGTCTCTCATTAATCTTTCTTCTTCTCCTCCTCTGTCTCTCATTAATCTCCTCTATCTTCTCCTCCTCTGTCTCTCATTAATCTTTCTTCTCCTCCTCCTCTGTCTCTCATTAATTTCTTTCTTCTTCTTCTCCTCTGTCTCTTATTAATCTTTCTTCTCCTCCTCTATCCCTCATTATTCTCTTCTTTCTTCTCTCTTGTCTAATGAATAAACAGTGTTTCTGGAGCTCGTTCCTCTGGCAGGTTCACGCAGACGTGTTTGTGCATGCATGATGGAGAAACGATGAGCTGCCGTTTCCTCCTTTGATCTTTCTCAGATAGACAGGAAGTCAGGAAACCGCGTAAGTGTTAGCGCGAGGCGTGACTCGCTCAGTTCTTTTGAGGAAACGATCTTTACTGAATCAGAGAAACAGTTGAGTAAACTTCAGAGCAGAGCACTTTCATACAGACTCAGCTCATCCACGGTCAGATCTGCAGCTCAGCAGAGGTAAGGCCTGTTTCAGTCTCTCTCTCTTTACAGTCCAGCATGTGCAGAACTTTGGTAACACCTTATAACATGTTTCATTATGTTATAACACCCATAACTGGCCAAAAATATCTGTGAACAAAACTTCATCAGAACTCAAACATTTACAAACGTTCATACAAACTCAGGGAGTAGCTGGTGGGTCCATTCATATTTATGCTGTATGTGGTGTTTTCCTGTATGTTACCAACACAACCTTCCACCAATGAAGAGCTGTATAACAGCAGCAGATGTAGATCACTATCAGTGAGATGTATAACTTCATAATAGTGATTAAGTTTTAAATTTTGTCTGGTGTGTATAAATGATGACAGTGTTAAGTAGGATGAAGTATGTAGATACGTTTCCTGTTAAAGTGTGTAAAATATGTATTGATTTGAGTTTTTTCAGAACCTAAACTACAGTTGAAAATAAATTATTGAGTGATTCTAAACATCCATAATCTATATAATTGCATATTCATGTTAACCCATCAATAACATAGCCAAAGACAAATGTAACCATGTTTAAGTAATTGCTTCAGTACTTGTATTCACTACATCAGTGAGTTATAGATCTCCATCTGCTCTGACAGCACAACAATAACACCACAGTTCAAGAAAACAGTCAATTCCGCACTTCTCCCCACACCGCACCCCAGATATGGTCAGTCAGATAAGACGTGTTTGGTGTCTGAAGTTTGCTTCTTTAGTTTTAGCTCTGGAGCTACGAGGCTAATATAGCTAACAAGTAATGGAAGCTACCCACCAATTAGCATGATGCTAACCGTAAGCTTAAGTCAGTGCACTTGTCTCAAACTGTGGAGTTCAGTCATTTCTAATAGTCTTAATCATGTGGTTTCACACATCGTATGACTCACCGTTATCTATGAATATGGACTCAGTCTCAGATTTAAGATGGCTGTTATTGATCCTTAGGTATGTAGTGTGATTTGTACATTTGATCATTTTATTTTCAGGTTTTTATCTTTATTTTGTGGTATAATCTGTAGAGTAGTACATAATTCTTCAGTCCAGTCTTTAGTATTTTCGGTTAGTCCAGTGTTTCATAATGTCTGCTGTATTAGCATTGCTAGCTTGCTAATATTACATCATAGCCCACAATGCTTGCTACTATTGCATGACTACTCTAAAGGATTAGTCCACATCATTTTTCAAATTTCACAAATACCAACATTACAGCAAAATCCTATTGAGTAACTTTAAATACCATCACTGTCAAAACAAAACCTCACACTCCCAAATGGGAATTTTACAGAGGAAGAAAAGATTCTTTCCAACAGAATTTAATGTAAAACAATCCAAGAAAATTTACGACATTTCTATAGTCGTGAAATTTCCTCGCTACTAAATATTCCACAGTCAACTGTCAGTGGGATTATAACAAAGTGGAAGCAATTGGCAACGACAGCAACTCAGCCACGAAGTGGTCGGTCACGTAAAATGACAGAGCGGGGTCAGCGGATGCTGAGACACATAGTGTACAGAGGTCACCAACTTTCTGCAGAGTCAATCGCTACAGACCTCCAAACTTCATGTGGCCTTCAGATCAGCTCAAGAACAGCGTAGAGAGCTTCATGGAATGGGTTTCAATGGCCGAGCAGCTGCATCCAAGCCTTACATCACCAAGCACAATGCAAAGCGTTGAATGCAGTGGTGGAAAGCGCTGCCACTGGACTCTAGAGCAGTGGAGACTGTTCTCTGGAGTGACCAATCACACTTCTCCATCTGGCAATCCGGTGGATGAGTCTGGGTTTGGTGGTTGCCAGGAGACAGTACTTGTCTGACTGCATTGTGCCAAGTGTAAAGTTTGGTGGAGGGGGATTATGGTGTGGGGTTGTTTTTCAGGAGGTGGGCTCGGCCCTGACCTCAACCCGATAGAACACCTTTGGGATGAATTAGAGCAGAGACTGTGAGCCAGGCCTTCTCGTCCAACATCAGTGTCTGACCTCACAAATGCGCTTCTGGAAGAATGGTCAAAAATTCCCATAAACACTCCTAAACCTTGTGGAAAGCCTTCCCAGAAGAGTTGAAGCTGTTGTAGCTGCAAAGGGTGGGCCGACATCATATTAAACCCTATGGATTAAGAATGGGATCTCACTCAATTTCATATGCGTGTGAAGCAGACGACCAAATACTTTTGGAAATATAGTCTAGGTTAATAATGTTAATAAGTAATGTTTCTCTAAAATGGAGCACATCAAACCATTCTGGACTTTTTTTTTACACCTGAACCGTTTACTGATACACTTTGACTGGTGGAATTAAACTTTGAGGCCTTTTCATTAGTAACAACTGAGTTTTTCTGTAAGAACTAAAGACACTAAAGTGTAAGTTATGTAGTTATGTCTAATGTGAACAAGGATATGGGTGTTTATCGTTCAAGGGATTAAGTCTAGTCCTGGACTACACAGTACTGAATAGAGATTCTCCACTGGACTGAAAATATAGTCCCAGGATTAGGATTAATTCCTGTCCAGGACACTGACCTATAAAGTCTCACTGTGTTTGGGTTGAAGTGTGCAAAGTCTGTGGTGTGGGTGAGTGTGTGTGTGTGTGTGTGTGTGTGTGTGTGTGTGTGTGTGTGTGTGATGCAATTTCCTCTGTCAGACACAGCGGAAACACTCACTTCCTAAGAAAGACTCTTCACTTCTCTACATAAACACTGAGGATGAGGCTGCAACACTCAAAATTCAAAGAAATAACGATAATAATCTGTAATATCTTTAAATTCCATCCAAGCACGCATACATAAACAGTGTTTAATTAGATATTCAGATATCACTAACTCTGTAATTTACCTAAAAACAGCCCTATACTGTCAGAGAGGGATGATAAAATATTTCAGAGAGTGCTGATGCTGTTGAACTTTCTACACTTAAAGATTTGGTACAGACTGAAATAATTCTGATATTGGTTTCCTTTTAAACAAAAACAACACAAAATCTGATCTGTAGATGAATAAATATCTATTGTATTAATAGCATTTATCAATTATTATTATTATAAATGTTATTTAATATTGACAGTTTTTATCAAAATGCACTACCATCTCTTATGATATAACAATAATTTACTAAAATCCTGTTACATAATACTGGCATGAACACACCATAAACATGTTAAAGTTATGTTATTATGTTGCGTGCTAATTTTTGCTCTAGTTAGCCATCATGATGTCAAACATTATGGCATCTGTCATGATAATTACCATGAATACTAACATGACATTGTTATACTACTCAAACTAATCTGTCATGGCATGTTTATGTAGGAGGGTTAAAGTGGTTCCTAGTTTCCCTTTAGGACTTTAGGACTCTGTGTTTGAGGATGTGTAATGTGTATGATTGTGTTTCCTTCCCCCACAGGGAGGGGGCAGCATGGAGACATTCAGCTCCAAGGATCTGGCCATGAAGGCCCAGAAGAAGTTCCTCAGCCACATGGCCAGTAAGTCGATGGCCCAGATGATGGTGGACGACACCAGCGGAGAAGTTCTGGACGAGCTGTACCGGGTCTCTAAGCTGCACACCGGGAACCGCGCCGAGGCCCAGAAGGTCCTGAAGAACCTGGTGAAGGTGGCTGTGAAGGTGGCGATTCTGATACGCCATGATAAATTCAGCAAAGACGAGCTCAAAGTGGCTCAGGAGTTCAGAAAGAAACTCCACAATGGGGCCATGACGGCTATCAGCTTTCAGGAGGTACAGCCACCAACACTCACTCAGGCAGGGTCTGAAGGGGAATGCGATAGGACGCCCTCTACTGACTAAACAAGTTCCAAAAAATTACCATCTACATTCCCGTTTAGGCCATCTCCTCTTTTTTATCCCCTCTTTGATTAGTGCTCTAGTGTGTTCAAGAAATGGATTGGCATTGTAGTGGGCTACCCTTCACTGTAGAACAGGGGTGTCAAACTCAGCCAGTAAAAGGTCATATTAAAAAATCAAAAAGAATCTGTGAGCCAGAGAAAAAAAGTTTTTATTTAATCTTTAATTAATGTTGTGCTGTAACCTGAACTGACCACTGTTTATCCAAAACATGCAAAAACTTAAGCAGTAAAATATAGGTACTTGTAGCAGGCCTTGAAATATTATATGACTATATTAAATATTTAAAATGTAAAGTCCCCAAGAGCTCAGTCTTTCAAACCTACATATCTGCTAATAGAAAATTAAAATACTTTTGCAGCCTGGATAAGACTGTGTGGCAGGCCTGGTCTGGCCCACAGGCCTTGTGTTTGACACATGGGGTGTAATAAGGCTGACAGAGTGGAAGGCCACTTCTCTCGGCTTTGGGTCATGGATAAACAAGCTATTCATGCAGCATCTTCTCAGCATGTGGGCAAAGACCTGCTCTGTTAGCCACTTGAACGTAGTGGGGCAAAACAGAGTCCAAATGGAATCCTATGAAGTGCCATAGCCCCTCCTCTCTAGGTCCAGGCTGTCTTCTTCTTGGCCACTGGAGCAAGTGCTACTTGCCAATTCCTACTGTGAGTCAGCGACTCATTCTGCGGCATCATGCATGGCAGTGGGTGGTAAAGGAGCCAGAGAGTAAAGGGCCAGAGACCCGTCCATTTTCATGGTTTCTCTGCTTAATCACACCTGCTAAACCTGGCAAGGTAGCAGAGCAGGTAACTGCAGGACTCCAGTCCTGTGCTACATATTGTGAATGTAAACGCTGTGGCAGCACTGAAAGAATTAAACACAGTTGCTGTGATCCTTTGTTTTTAACATTCCCTGTGACCCTATTTTGATGATTATCTGTTATTTTTTTTAAGGCAAAAACTGGTGTGATCTCTACAATAATAACCCTTTCAAAGATTCCAAAATATTTTTGAAAAAAAATACTGAAAAAAAAAAACTGACAAAAAATGTGTCTGTCAGGCTTTGTCTCATGCTGTGTTACAGCATGTAAAAGAACTGAATTATGCATTATTAAATCACAAACTGACAACAAAAGCTACAGATTCAGATTTAAATGAGTAATCAAGTTTAACCATTTAAGACCAAATGTGCTGCTAAAATGTTGTGTAAATAACTTTACAACCATGTGAGATAAAAACAAACTTCAAACTGAAATTAAAGTAGAGAACTGGATCTTTTGCCATAGACCACTGCAGTCGTGCCGTCATTTTGTAGTCGGCGCCATGTTCTTATGCCCATTTTAGGAACTGCAGGTCTGAGCTCCATTTCACTAAGAACATTTCGATAAGGTAGCACAGCTGGTCAGAGAACCTCCACAGCCCGCCTTAGTTTCGTGTAGCTTAGTGACATCAAATTGATGCGCAGTAGCTTTAGCTTGCATGTAGCAATATTAGTATTATAGCTCTTTACCGACCTCGTAATTCGGAGGATCCAGTGATATTCGAGAGAAGAATGTTCACAGCACAGAACGAATCGGGTTCTGAACATGTTTATTTAACACAGGGGGCGCTAGAGGAGATTTTTCAACAGCCCTGTTCATTCTGGCCATAGAGAAATGGAGCTCAGACCCAGAGTTCCTAATATGGGCATAACGAGGACTACAGACTGACGCACGACTACAGTGGTCTCTGTATAGTGTTGTGTATCTTCTGAAACCCCAGGACTGAGCTACACTATGTCTGCAGAGTCGGCTGTGTGGACCACCCTTTAGATCAGTGTATACAGATCAAATGATCAGCAAACAAGTTTTCTTCAGCTTTGCTGTTGTTTTTATTGTTTGGTAACTAATCAGGAGATTTAATACATAAGCAGGCTGATCCAATCAAAGCATGGCTTTATCTTCAGAGCTCCTCCCACAACACTGTAATCTACTACTAGTTCCAGCACAAACTTCAGAAGACTGGACTTCACCGTTTAGAGTGCTGAAATGCTGCACCGCTCTTAAAGGGCAGGAATGATGAGGCTGGAGACAGTCAGTGATGTGATGTGGATCTGTAGAGCTAAATAACAATAAATCACCAGCTATAAACTAAAACCTCCTGACAGATCTGAGAAAAACAGTCACAGATCTGTACTTATATTGACAGAATTTTTTTTTTTATATATGTTTTTATTCTTTTCCAGTGAAAATGTGAAAAAAGTGCCTTTTGTAACTTAGACGTTGAAAATGTGTGTTTATAACTGGCTGTATTACTGAAAAAGCTGTGTTTTGTGCCAGGGTTATTATAATTAACGAGAACCATCATGAAATTGAAACTAGCATTGAAAAAATATACTGCTTAACTGGAATAAAAATGAAAACAACCTTTGAAAATTCTGAAAATTAAATAAAATCTGTAACGTTCACTGCAATACAAACAAAAACAAAATAAAAATACACAGAAAAAATGTAATTTTTTTTTTGTAATTTTATGTATTTTTAAACCTAAACCGTGCTGGAGACGGTGCTAACTGTCCTCTGGCTTGCAGTAGTTTAATCTTATGCTAATTTAGCTGTGCTAATGGTAAAACTTGTCTGAAAGTGCAGTTTGGGATTATTTTGAATGTGACTGACAGAAGCCAATGTGCCATTATTGGTAGTTGTGGTGAAATATGGAGGAGCAGAAGAGTCAGTGACTCAGAAGAGTCAGTGACTCAGGTCAGAGTGAAGAAGCTTATCATACCTTTATAAAGAAAGTTATAGAGCGAGCGGCTCTAACCAACACCATGACACCAGCTCACATCAGTGTGGAGGGCAAACACAGCAAACCTCACCCCGGTGCTTGATGGCGGGTGACGTGATGGCGAGCGGTCTGTGAATACGACAT